GAAGCCGAGCTCGATGAAATATGTAAGCTGGATGACTCGATCGAGCCCGAAATCCAGATAAGCAGCCAGAATGTTTTACGAAAAAGTGCTTGTAATGAAAGTGGTGTGAAATACGAAAAAAAGGAAAAGAAAACTGTACAAGAGACTTTGATGGAGATAGCGCAAAATAAGGAGGAAGCCCGGGAGAGACGACACAAAGAAAAAATGAACTTAATTCAAAACTTACTGGGAAAGATGGTAGAAGACAAAAAGTATTAATACCGCACCTACAGTTGTCCACGTAATAATAGGAGTGCGAAATTTCTACCAGTTTTTACTACTTTTCTTTTGTTTATTAAATATTTTTTTTTTATGTTTATAAAAGTTTATTTGGTTATACAGCAAACACCATATAAATAAACATTGCAAACTTTGTACAAAAATTATAAAAATTCTGCAAAGGTTCAAAAATTGCAAAAATTTGAAACTTTTTAATCAGAATGTTTGAAAAAAATTTTGATATGCTTTTTGTAGATCACTAAATTGCATATAATGAAGTGCAAGTTACAAGCTGCTAAAAAATCACGTTGATTTTTGGCAAATTTTTTGCAGTGCCTTCCATATAAAAGAAAATTGTCGAACATACAACTGGATTTCTTACCAACTTGAAATTTGCACTTCATTATATACAATTTAATAATCTACAAAACAGCATACCAAAATTTTGTCTAAACATTTCATTTATTTCAAAACATTCTGATTAAAAAGTTTTAAACTTTTGCCATTTTCGAACCTTTGTAGATTTTTATAATTTTTGTACGAAGTTTGAAATGTTTACTTATATGGTGTTTGGTGCATATCCAACTACGCTTTTATAAAAATAAAAAAATATTTAATAAACAAAGAAAAGTAGTCAAAACTGGTCAAAATATCGCACTTCTATTACTTTTTGTACAACTGTAAATGCTGACATATTTTTATTAAAAAATATAACCTACTACGATGAGTGAATTTCTAGTTTTGTTAAACAAAAGATTGAATTATTTAATATTTTTATTTCAGTTCTTTTCTAATAAAAAGGCAGTAAAACTGCAATTAATGTCTGAAATTATAGAAATGGTTTTTGATTTCATTTCGCTTCAGTTGTCCCAGCTGCGTTAGCAAAAGGTCTCTTCTGTCACCGCCTTCAATATGACCGCTTTCAGTTTCGATATAGCTGGTTTCAATATCACAGCAATCATTTCTCTCTATACAAATGTTATGTAGAGCACAACAAGCTATAATAAATTTGGCCATGACTTCCACATCATGAAAATCGAGACGCATTAGCTGGCGAAAACGAGATTTTAGCACACCGAATGCGTTTTCAATTTTCACTCGCGTTTGGCAAAATTTCAGGTTGAATAGTTTTTCCGATTCGCTCAAACTTCCATAATCCCGAAATGGAGTTAGTAAATATTCACGAAGGGGATACGCAGCGTCGCCTAGCAAATGATATTTAGGAGCACATGCGCTTGGAAGCTCCTTTCCAATGAAAGATAATTTTAAAATCCGCGAATCATGAATTTTGCTAGGAATGCCTGTATATACGTCCAGAAAACGTAGCTTTGCATCGCAAATTCCTTGCAAGGTTATTGATGCACAATCATGTCTATTTGTGTAGGTTGAACGTATTTTATTCTTAGGCTTTCTAATGGAAATGTAGCTACCATCTATGCAGCCCAAAACGTTTGGGAACCCAGCAATCTATTAACGTCATAAAGAACATTTTTTAAAAGTGCTTTAATAACCAACTTTTAAGTTTTAATATAAACCTTTTGAAATTCCTTCGCAATAGCTTCTTTCTCAACATCTTCCTTTGGAAATCTTATTGACTCCGACGCAACAGCTTCCACTAAGAAACTCAAAACTTTATTGAAGGTGAAATGAATGTTCGACAACGTCACGCCAAAAAGGTTTGCTACTTCTCTGAACGTAGTTTTGTTAGCGCTAAACCTATAATACGTGTAATCAATGAAACCTTTGTAATAAATTCGTAGATATTATGGTGTATTTCTTGCATCTTACCACAAAAAAGAAAGCATATGAGTTTCCGCTGTAGATTGCAGTCTGCCTCCCTTGTAGCTCCTTTTTACATACCATCTGCTAGAGGAATACCTTGCCACGAGATATTCTGCACTGCCGCGGGTAATGCGGAAGTTTGTTTTGAACTGCAATGTAAATAAAATGTATTAAACATTTCTTTCCTCAGCCATATTAAAGCACTTACCTCCAACTCGGTGTAGGAGTGAACAACATTTACTATGAAGTCTTGCACGCGTGGATAAGGGTTTCTTCTTAAAAGAACCGCCTCAATCTCTTCTTCCGATGATGAAGACGAATCTAGCAATTCGTCTAATAATTCACTCAATCCAATTACTGCTTCCATTTCGTCGTTTTTTCGGCTTAAAATTTTTTCAGCGTTCTTGTGAAAAAATAATAAACAATCAAAATCAGCTGTTTTGCGGTGTGACATTGCCACACCATCATTTTATAGAGGGTAGAAAGTGGAACACTTTTGCGCTGCCAGAATGTAACAATTTTCACAAAAGAATGCGATACCCCTTTAATATGTTGCCTACTTTTAAGAAAAGAACATAACATCTTGACAGCCATTTCGCAGTGCAGAATAAGTGTTGAATTTTTTCGAGAAAAGAAAACGCTATTAGTAATAACCAGGGCTGAAGAAAATAAGCAAGAAAAAATCCGTTTTAAGCGCTTAGATAAGCACAAAAACATTGGTAAATATGCTCGCAAAACAACAAAAATTAGGTACAGTTTAATGTTTTTTTATTCAGTTTACTTCAAGGATTTAAAAATTTCAATGGGCACACTAGTGTTGCTCGATATTCTCTGCGTTGGTTGGTCTTAATTTTTTTAAATATTCGTTATTCGGTATTCAATGCTTCCCGTAGAGACAAACCATTGGTATTAAATTTTTATATCCAAGCAGAAATGAAATTAAAGTTACGGGTTAATAAAAACTAGATCTCTTTTTATATGTTATTATTTTCCATGATACAAATATTTCAAGGTAAAACCGCTAGCTCAATTCGTCGGCCATCATTTATTTTTTGAACTTTGTCCACTTTATAAAATTGAAATTTTGAGAGCAACTCAAGTAAAACAAAAAACAAGTATATGAAAATATTCAAATTTTCTTTTATTTGAGAATGGAAGTGAGAATGTATTTGTGAGATTGAATATTTGAAAACATTTTTGTTATGTTAGCAAACTTCAAAAATGTTCAGGTTGTCTCGCAGCGGTTTCCTAAAATCTTTATATCATGATTTACATTTAACATTTATTTAGTTCGACGAATAAAAAAAAAGCCCAAGAAATGGTCAAGAAAAATTTATAGAGCCAAATATTCTTAAGCAGTACGAAGTTCTTAAGAAATTTGCTAGGCTTTCTACTATGGTTTGCTAAAGTTTTTTTGTGAAGAGTACCAGGCACCCTTGTTTTCAACAGAAATATATGCCCGTTCCATTTTTCGTAAGGAAAAAGTAAGACAGCAGGCTGTAAGCTTAAACTTTTTAGCCCTGGTAATAACTTCCCTGAACACTTATTGTTACGCTTTAGCGTTCTGTTTGAGTTTATTACGCTTTAATTTTTATACTTCTTGCCTGTCCCAAATCAGCAACGGATAAACTTTCCAATGATGGCATATCCTCTAAAAACGTCGATAGTAAGAAAAACATCGATGTTTTCAAACAAATATTTAAACATCGATAATATCGATAGCGCTCCGATGTTTTTGCAGCTCTAGCGTCATAATACCAAATGAAAATTCGTTCGATCAGCACTTTCGACCACAGTCGAATGCAGCTCATAGGGACATTACTTTTACATTTCTATGTGAGACTGCATTTGCAACAAATGCTTACATAAACAAGTGATTTTTAAGCAAAACAAAAAAAAACAAAACCGATTTCAATTCCCATCTAAGAATTTAAGATTATCGTTAATCTATTCATGATCCAATGATCGGATAAAAACCAAATTAGACCACCTGTCAGGTAACACCTTTCCTTTAAAAAATAATTATAATAATCGGTTAACGTGGTCCAAAGTAATGCGGTAACATACATAGAAAAAAATAATAAAAAAATATTCCGACGAAGGTTGTCAATTATCCTTTTTGTGAAGTCGGTTAAAAACAAATACACCAGCAAGCTTTCAGCGTCAAATGATTTCAGGGTAAAATTGTCACAGCTCCCAATAAACTTAAAGGAAATAATGAAATCATCAAAACAATTTCAGTCCTCATATTAAAGCTAAAGAATAAAGTTTGCATTGTGTTTTCTTGTTTTGGTAGACATTTGAAGAGTAGGGGGGCCGAGAAATTTTTTTAGCACAAGGGTGCCGAGGTGAAAAAAGTTTGGGAACCCCTGGACTAGGTAATCGTTTCAAAAGTTCTTCGATTAGAGTGATTAAACATTTTTCACAGTCTTTTAATATGCTTCTTGAGTCAAGTTGATCACGCAGTTCATTATCCTCTTCTGTAAAATTATCGTGGAAAACTAAGTTTTGTATATTTTTATAATTGCAAAGAAATTAATTTGAAGGGAAAAAATCCCCAAAAATTGTCAATGGCGATTTCCTAAATTTTTACGCGCAAATATCCAAAAAAAATCGTCTAATTGGCGCGATTGCTCCATATCCAGCATTGAAAAGAATTGGTAGAAATGGAGCATGACAAATTTATGTGCAATGCAATAAGAAGCAATTCCATCACGAAAAAGTATGAAAATATGTACATATCTGGAGTACATTTATCTGGCATGCATACACAGCAGCAAGTTCATGCCAACAAAATCGATGTCGTATTTCTACTGGAACGTGAGGTTTCTCAGAGCGTATGCGCACTCTAATCATATACTTGTACTGCTGCTGTATGCATATGGCTGTATTAGGCACGGTGCACATTAGTGCGATACGATATGCGATGCGATATGAAATGCGCGCTGTGCACATTAGAGCGATGCGATATGCGATGCGACATGCGATGCGACACGCGATACCATTTGCGGTGTGATAGCTACACAAACGCCTTTCAGTTAATACCATGAGTTCATCCGATGAAGGCATTGCTGTAACATATTGGTGGCTACAACAAAGAAAAAAAAAGAGCTTATAATAGGAGAAAGTACTGGGTGCATCCGTTTAATGTGAGGAACATAAAGCACAGTTCGGCGGTAGTTTCCCATGAGCTCTCTCAATACCCGGCAAAATTTAAAGAGATGTATCGAATGAGTCCAGATAATTTTCGGTTGCTAGAATAGTTTGTCTCAGCTACTTTAACGAAGCAGGACACAAAATTTCGGCTCGCAATTTTTTTGTTTAAAATATTTTTTTTGATAAAAAAATGTATTTTTTCATTAAATGTATTTTTTTTTTTGTAATTTTTTTGTACCCAGTATACCAATATGCATATCAGAAGAAAGAAGGTTTAATCGCCTTTACAACGATACCAACTTTTTAAAAATCGGTTAGTAATTTTTTTGTTTAAAATAGTTTCAAAAAAAGGTATTTTCCCCTTTAAATCAGTTTTTTCTCAAATTTTTATGTACGAAGTATACAAATCTGTGTTCGTATGGAAAAGTAGCTTATGTCGAAAGGCCGGCTTTAGTATAATGCGGCATTACCTTTATTTTTTAAACGACAAGGAATTTTTTGATGAGACTTAAAAAGAATATTGACTTGCTAGCAGCGGAACTATTTCTTGCCTGTTTATTTGCTAAAAGTTGTTTAACGGCTTAGCGCCCGTAAGTCATTCGCAATCGTATGCTGCGAATGCCGATTTATACTAAAGCCAGCCTTTCGACATAAGCTACTTTTCCATACGAACACAGAAATATGCATATCAGAAGAAAGGGGTTTTAGTCATCTTTTCAATGACCCCATTTAAAAATCGGTTAGTAATTTTTTTGTTTAAAATGTTTTTTTTTTATATAAAAAAGGTATTTTTTCATTTAAGAGCGTGTGTGAATCGGTCACGAGTAAATTTTTGACAACTATGCGGTGAATAAAATTTCAGTAGCTCATGAGGCTAGTGAAACTTTAGACAAATGTATAAAAAATTCTGACAGTCGCAAAGATTGTTGATGTGTGTAATTTTTCGTTAAATAAAAGCTTAAATTGATGAATTGCAATCAATGATGGCAGACGTTTTCTTAAAATATTAATTTCACTTCAAATTGTAATATGTTATTCCGCATAAATTTGCGGTTATCAAAAATTTACTTTTGTCAAAAAATATTTCATTTCACACAGCAGATTGGCAAAACTCTCTCACCATAGTAAAAATATTATTCAACAGCTTTCTCCATAGAACTTTGTTACCGATTCACACACGCCCTAAATGTGTTTTTTCTAAAATTTTTATATACGAAATATACAAATGTGCATATCAGAAGAAAGGGTGTTTAATTACCTTTATTTTTAAAAATCAGTTCAAAATTGTTTGAAATATAAGGAATTTAATATTTCGAAGACCTGAACTTTGACCCCTTATAGGACCTGTAATATAAGTTTGCACAAAAAAGGTTATTTACTATTTAAATAAGAACAAAAGGGGGACTACGTCTATATTTTTAGCGTTTTAATTATTTACATGCAATAATTAAATATAATTTTTTACCGAAGGTCCTATTTCGAACTTCGAAGGCCCATATCTCGATGACTAACTTCGAATAACGGAATAACGAAAAAGTGATTTCTTTTTTACCTATGACTCAATCTCTTAAAAAAATTGGTTTGGTCCAATAGCCATAAAAAAAGTTGATTTTGCCGTACAGTGTAATTATTTGAATATTTGAAACAAAACAGTTAATCATTAACATTAAAACAAACACCAAATCTTTTTTGCTATTCAAAATCAAAAATAAATGGGTTTAAAATGATTGGATTCTTTAAATTTCTTTTTAAAGATATGAAAACAAAGGCAAATAAACCATGACAAAAATATTCTATTGTGTACTTACCTGTGTCCTTGACCTCAGACGCTATATTTCTCCATGCCAAACTAGTCATGTCTGTTCTATAGTAGTTTTTTTTCTGTATAGTTCCATAAGCACGGTTTTTTTTATTAATTCGGCTAAAAAAATTGAGGAAGATGCTTCCTCCTGTGAAAAGGCCATGCTTATTGCAAAAAATACCGCGCAATACTAATTTCACCTCGTTCAACAAACCGTGTTGCACATGTGATACGCATGCAATATTATATGGCAGCGGTGTCGCACGTGCGATACGCATGCGATATTATCCCTGTAGTGAAAAGCTGAAGCAGTATGCACAAATTCTAGTTCACGAACTATTATTTAAGGATAAAAGCCATACCAGTTCGTTATGAACCATAATTATACCAGTTCTTCGTAAAAAAAAGTAAAGTAGTTGGTAGAAATTCTAGTTCGAAAACTGGTATTAAATGGGGAAGTCATACCAGTTCCTCATGTACTATAATTATAGCAGTTCTCCGCAGTGAAATGCCAAATACCAGTTAATTAACTACTATGTGCTAAAGCGACGGCCTACATCTGTCTTTGAATAGGCACAACCAAAACTAAAATGCGGTTAATCGCTTTCATCGCAAATCTCGGCTGTGGCGCCGAGTGAAGACTA